CGCGTCTTCCAAATACACGCCGTAGTCCTGACACACCTTTCCGTTCTTGTCGGCCAACAACGGGATCTTCATTTGGCCCAAACCGCCCTCTTTTCGCGATGTGTTCACCCTATGGGTCAGTACAACAGAGACAACACATTATTACCACTCATTGAAATGTCAAATGTATATCACATGACATGTGTGTCGCGATAATGGATTAGATAAGTGACACATGATTGAAGCCAATCAATAATTTTGACACAATTATCGCAATCACGTGAATATCATGTAAATATTGATCTCGTGATCACATACCAGGCCAAGTGACTGAAGTGACTGTCGGCAGAACAGGCAATAATCTCGCAGTTAGTCTTANAGGCCAAGTGACTGAAGTGACTGTCGGCAGAACAGGCAATAATCTCGCAGTTAGTCTTACGGAACTCATCCGATCGGTCGCTGAATGATATGATTTCCGTCGGACAGACAAACGTACTGTACATTCAAATAAAGGCCAATAAAACAATTAATTATTGCATTAAATATAACGATAGTTTGCGTAATATTTCACAAATTATTTTATCAAGGTTAATATTCCATGAAATAATACACTGAATTAATAAATTAGTAGTCAATTACAGTATAAATCTCCATCTATTGGTTAATAATCCAGATTTTAAAACAAAAAAATCCATTATTTTTATATCAATTAATTTTAAAGACAATAGATTACCGATTCTTGTCATTAAAAATGTTAGAGTTAACAGTTGTTAAGGGATTATAAGTATGATATTGAAACCAATTATACGTTATATTATGACTTTTTTGAAGCAATAAAGTAATGGCATATTTCATGAAACATTAAACCGAGAAATTTGGACAAATATAGCAAAAATGTAATCATTTTCGCAATTATTAATAACAGAAATCACTCACAAATCCAATGGATAGAAGAAAATGATGAGATATTTGCCCTTATAGTCGCTCAATTGGATCTCTTTGAAGTTGCCGTTCACTACAGCTGTTCCCTTGAAATCCGGGGCGGGTTTTCCGATCTGCGGGTAACGAGTGTTAGACATGTCTGACGGTATCGGTTCCGGACTTTGCGGTGACTTTAATGAATCTGGAGATATAATCAATGGAGAAATCAAAAGTTAAAATCAATTTTATAAATATTATTTTTAGTTTTAATTAAAAATGTTATAAATTAAATAAATATATTCATTAAAATTAAACATTACTTTTCCGTTTGGAAAACAGTTTGGTAACTACTGATGATGACATTTGTAGTGATAAATCGCGATAACAGTTTAAAAATATCTTGAAATATGTATGAATTTAGAGCTTTGTTTGGCTCTAAATATATCAAAATTTCAATAAATTAAATTCTGACACAAATTTCTTGATTAAAATAATCGCGAAATAATGTTTCAAAGGATTGAATTACAAGAATATTAATCATAAAACACATGAAAAATCAGATACAATTGAAAAGTGAGAGCTATTTATGAAATAAAGTCCTTTCAAAGAGTGTACTAAACATATAATGTACTGTAAATATGAAAAACAGATAAATATTAATATATTTTTATTATGGATTTGTATTATAATGTAATGATTATATTTCGAGACAAACAATTAGTTATATCGTGAAAATCAATAACTGTTTCACAACAGAGAATAGGAGGTTATTATAAACGGATAAATAAAACACAAATTAGACTAAAAATGTCATTTAGTCGGAAATATGTGTTTTGAATAATACTGTATATCTTATAAATGGTTTGTAATATTTTAATAATGTTTTATTAAATCAAAACTTAAAAATATAGTTAAAAAACAGTTCGCACACAAAACGACACAACTATTGTAATGCAATGAGTTTTTCGCTAAACAGGAGTTTTAATCAAAAAGTTTTCTTTTGTGACAAAATATATAAAAATAAAATCTCAATTGAATTGTAAGTCAAGGACAGTAAATGTCTAACTGTTTTGTGCACTCAATGTATTTAATCAACGAAAGGAAGAGTTATGTATTAATAGTAAATATCGGTCTCTCTTTAAAACAAACAAAAACCAGTTATTAATAAATAAAAAGAGATGCAAAACATTGAAAACTATACCCAAACTATCCATAACTACCGCTTTATTAGTTAATAGCGGCAACTATTGGATCAGTAAATAGCATATTAATTATGAATATCATTTGAATACTAAATAACATATAAATGAATAATTGCTTAAAGCATGCGATGGGGTTGTGGTGGGGATGGACTGCCCGTGCGCTCAGAGCTGACCTGAATGCCGGTCCCCCACAACAGCCACTCAAACCTCATTCATAGCCGTAAATATCATTGAGTTGTTTGCCTTGAGATCACATCCCAGTGTGTAATACAAATTCACCGCAACTTTTATTTTTATTGTTTGGTTACAAATAAAACAAACACAAAAAACTTTATAATAATTTGAAATGCATTTTAGAGGCAAAAGAGAGGAACAGATTGTGAGAAATAGTGAGAAAAAACAGAAATCACTTCAATTCAAACACGACTTTCCTTTCCGTGAAATGAGTTTTCGAGAAATAAATTATTTAAATAACTATTAATTGATAAGCGATTTGTGTTAACGTCTGATGTAATAAACGCCACGTTTTATGCAATCAATAC